GACCTGCCCCAGTTTCTGCCCTGTGAAGCTCAGTCTAGAAGCGGCAATGCCATAGGTGCAGCAGGAGCTCAACAGAGACATGGGTGCTCTGAGTGAGGCACAGGGAGGCAGGGTAGGCGGTGGGGCATGGAGCAGAGGGAGCCTCCCAGCTGGGCTTTGCATCATGGGCAGGGGTTGAAACTGCAAAGGTAGGAGGGAAGGACATTCTTGCTGTATGGAATAGCAACAAATCCACGAGGGCAGAAAGGCCAGGACTTGCAGCTGTGGGGAATGGGGGAGGCCAGACCAAGCCAGGCTGAGCACTTGAGTTGTATTTGATAACCAATGGAGAAACATTTAATATCATGCATGCCTGTGAAAACAGAAATGCATTCCAATCATTTAATATCCCCTGTGGGACATTTAATTGGGGACATATAAACCAGGGACTTTTCATCGATGTTGTTAAAGTCCATTTTGAGAGATGGGGATGGAATTTTCCATGGTCTCTTCTGAGGCTGGAGACAGGTTCTGGTCCTGGAGGACCAACTCCCTCCCTCACCCTAGTTAAGAGAAGCTGAAGTTCTAGGCTCCCATGCCCACATTATCCCCTTCTCTGCCCAACTCTTCTTCCTCAACCTTCCCTTCCCAGGGATTTTGGCAAAGGTAAACAACATTCACACCCCAGAACATCCCAAGTTTACCTTCATTTTCACTGTCTTCAAAGTGCTTTGAACACTCAAGATATTGCTGCAAATGGAATCGAGGAAGATGCGGACTGGGGCTGGCAGTTTTAATAACACTCTTCCTTCTTTATGATCAAAAGCATGTGGGGATAGTAACATTTATAAAATTTTGATGCCATAGGAAACACACGAATATTCACCTATGAAGTCTGCATGAAATGTTCTATTATGTCCAGACTGAGTCCTGCTCAGTGAGGAGACTGTGCCGCCTACCTGGGAACGAGCTGATGAGGGGTGGTGGAGGTTGTCTGGAATCTCTGCCATGTGTGGCAGCCGGGGTACCTCTGTCATGTTCTTCCAACTTTCTCTGCTCCACCAACCCTGGAGAAATGCAACTCCAGTGCTTTCCCAGATAGGGAAAGCAAATTGGGCTTCATGCTAGAGGGGTAAACAAATCCACACCGAGCCACCATCAAGTCTTGTGGGGCAATGGTAAGGGGACGATGGTCTCAGCCAGGGGCCACCTCGCTGACAGTACTGCTGGCGGATGCCTACTTTGAATCTTGCAGTTGCTGGTAGCTGTGTTGAGCGAAGGAAGGAGGCCAGGACCCGTGGTTCCTGGATCTACTGTGTTTAGGCCCACTCTTGCTGCGGGAACCCGGCGCCTACAAAATGGCCCCTCTACCTCCTCCTCAAGGAGAAAGCCGGTGTGGGCCAGGCAGTTGGGGTGAGGGAGAAAGCCACAGTTGTCCCAGCAGATGTGCACAGCAAGGCCGGGAAACTCTAAGAATGCGCAGCTCGTGTCCCAAGCCAGGTGCCCAGCCATTGAGTGGCATGTGGGCCACTGTGTGCAGGGCCTGGGGTGGAACACTGCTGCCTCTGGGGTGGGGGACTGCAGAAAGGAGAGCCAGGTGCTGAGCCTGGGGCAGTGGGCACAAGGCCAACTTTGCTTTTGAGTTCTCCCTCCCATTCCCTTACTGGGACCTGCCTGCCCTCGGGCTGCTGGCTGGTAGAGCGGCTCATCTCCACCTGTTCTCTTCTTCCATGCCTGAGCAGAGCCTGAATGTAAAGACATGTGGCTTGTGTGAGCTGTGCGCTGTGTGTATGCAGCGTGTTGGCCTGGGAGGGAGGGCGATAGACAGAAAATCCCTGTCCTGAGTAGTTATAGGTGTGGGGTCCATTTGAAGAGTTCCCTAGTGAAACGTCGTCGTTTGGACTGCAGTGTCCCCCAGAACTTCGTGGAGTAGTTTTGCACAGACCACAGGGACAGACAGCCATAGCTATTTTCAGGTTAAGCTGTGGCCTTACAAGTATGACCTGTACCCAGTCTTGGAGCCAGAATTGGCCCCGAAGTGCCTGAGGCTGCAGAGAATACACCCACAATGGTTTGACTTCAGTAATACACAAAGCAAACTCACAACTGGACGATCCTGTGTGTGAGCCCTGCTTCTGGTCTTTGGTCCCTGTATTCCCAACTGCCCCCCATCCAAAGATGGGTGTCCTTGCAGTTACTCCCGTGGGGATACCAGGAAAGCAGCAGGCCCGGGCAATCAGCCCCTCTGACCCTCTGGCAACCTGGTTCTGGGGCTGAGCTGGATGCTGAGTGGTGACTTGAGGCAGCGCATGAGGTGATCACAGACTTCCTAGAGCAAGATCCTCCTCTGAAATCCAGGTAGTGCTGAAGCCAGCATAAACTGGGCCAGATCAGGCAAATTCCAGTCCAGGCACACTCTAAACATTGAATTCAAATAGAGGCACTCTGTGCCTCTTCTTAACCTGAACAGAATGGCTCCAGCTTAGTCAGCTTTGGCAGTACCTTTCTCAAAGGCTCTTTCAGCGTCACCATTCCATTTAGCCTCTTCTGCTCTGAAAGCTAGGTAGGAAAAGCAGTCCCCTTCCTCCTCACTCTTTTTTTCTCTGATGGAGAAACTGAGGCCCAGAGAACTTGAGTGACCTGTCCAAGTCAGAACGGAGCCCCAGCTGCCTCTTTTGGGAGTGCACCACTCTAGGCCCGCCTGACCACCTCACCCTTGTCATGTAAAGGGAGAAACAGGGCAGGCACAAATCCTCTTCCTGCTCGAAACACCAGTTCTGGCTCTGGGAACCACTGATGCTGTGCAGTAAGCCTCTGAGCTGAGCTGACCCCGTGGCTGGAATGCGACCAGTTGACTGAGTAGCCAGGAGGTGCCTGGATACCCCTAATGACCCACCTACGAGGCAGCCCTTCGCCCCTGAGCCTGGGCTGCTCTGTATCTGGTAGAGCAGTGCCTCTCGCTCTTTTGCCATCTCGTGTCACTCTCATACACATGCAGTCCTTCCTGTACTGTTTGGTAGGAGCTGGCATGGTGGCCCTGTGACCTCCCAAGAGAAGTGGCAAATGCAGCACCCTCTGCCTCCCAGCTGAGCCTCTCGAGAGGAAGCTGCCAGTGCAGGAAACAAGAGTCCCTGCCAAGATGCCAGAATGCCAGTCATTTCCAGCTTGGCCCATGCAAAGTCAAGGAGGGTATCAAGAATGCCCCCGACCTCTGCTGCCATCTCTGCTGGGCAGCCCAAGAGGCCTGGTTCTTGGAAACATTCTGCATCTGCTGAACACAATGGGAGATGTACTTCTAAGTGCGAAGTAGTGACCCTGAGAAGTGACAGTCTTCAGCTGCTTCTTCCCAATGGCTACAAAGAGATGTGCCTGGAAGCAAACAGCCGTGTCTTGGTCTACTCCAGCTGCCATAACGAAATACCACAGATTGGCTAGCGGGGCGGGCATCAGCAACAGAACTGTATTTCTCACAGTTCTGGAGGTTGGAAGTCTGAGGTCAAGGAACCAAGAAGGAAGGTTTTGTTCTGAGACCTCTTCTTTTGGCTTGTAGGCAGCCACCATCTTTAGTGTGCTGACATCATCTACTCTGTGCACACAGGGTGAGAGGGAGCAAGTTCTCTGTGCCTCTTCTTATAAGAGTACTAATCCCAACATGAGGGCCCCACTCTCAAGACCTCATCTCCCAAAGACCCCACCTCCTAATACCATCACACTGGGGATAGGGCTTTGACATATGGATTTGCAGGGGACAAATTCAGTCCATAGCACTCTGGTATAGACAAGCTGGCTGAGGAATGTCAAGTTCCTCCTGCATATGTAAGAACTCGTGCCCGTTTATCTTAAATTGCCACTGGAGACTGGAGGTTTCCTTTGCTTTCTTCCAGCAATGGTCCATCATTGCTGATATTAAAGGCACACAATGACTTCTGGTGGTTATCCAAGCACCTGCCCACCTCCCATGTGGACAGCTGGAGAGATGCTCCCTTGATGCTTGACCGAGAGCACACTACTTAATCACTCTTCTTCCAGGGAGTACAACTGCCCACTACCCATCCCATAGACTATGGCAGGAGAGAAGGAACCTGCATTCAAAGAAACAGGCACCTTGCTCTTTAGCATCCAGGCTCACCTCGGAGGTGAGGTATAAGGCATGACCATAGTCCACAGAGTGGCTAGCCCCTGGGCCAACTGCTGGGGGCCTGGTAGGCCTGTGGCCAACCAGGTAGGCCTGAGTGAGCCAAGAGGCTTCAGCCATACAGACGGCGTGGGCACACAGCCACTCGGGAAGGCAGGAGCCAACAGCTTGTACAAGTGTGGCAGGGAACTGAGGTGTGAACGAGAAGCTGAGGGGAGCAAGTCACACACAAGGGGTATAACTCCAGGAAATAAGCCTTTCACTCAGGGTCTTAGCATCAGTAAGCTGATTCAAAACTATTTATTTCTAAGTTCTAAAAGTCAATAAGTTCACAAACAATTTTTATTAAGCAGTGAAGTCATATTTTACCTTGGAGCACCTGTTCACCTGATTTCAGCTTCCCATAGTTGGAATGTTGTTCCCTGTGGGTTTCTCCACTAAGAGTATTGGGAAGACGCAGGGCTAGATGGTCAAGGCCAAGGCCTAGGAATTCTTATGGCTTAAGACAGAAAGTTTCTTACTAGATTGCAAACTATGCTGGAAATGTACCTTGGCAGATAAAGGGTATTCTAACTTAAGCAAACTATGCAGCATGCCCACCCATGGTAGAACAAGTATGTGTGAGGCTGGGCAGGGTATATGGGGACAGCAGTCCCCTGCTATGGCTTGGCTACTGTCACATGCTAGAAAACTAGGAATCATAGGCTGCCTCTGCAGCACAATTATCAAGAAACAGCTTGTGCTCAACTAACAATTAGAAAAAGAAGTTCACAGAAAAAGTGTAAATCCCCACCCCCACCCCACCCACCCCACCCCAGGGGACTCTGTGAGCCTTGAATGTCCCCTGGCCAAATGGGCCTCTTGGGCCTGTTTTATCCCTCTTCTTTTAAGGGTCGGTGCGAAAGTGCTGCTGGCGCTGACGCTCATCCACATTAGGCTCCTCGGTAGACAGGAAAAAGCTGATCTGATCTGATGCAAATTGAATGGGGTTCTGCACAACTTGTTGACCAGAAGCTTCCTGGGCTACTGCTGCAGGAGCTAGAACCTGCGGAGGAAAAGGGGGACAAGGTGAAGTCCTCTGCTAGAGTTCCTGGACCTCTTTTACAACAGGGGCAGGACCCCTTAGTTCAAGTCAGTGAGGTATTGAAAAATACCTCTTTGGAACACAAGCTTGTAAGGTGTTTGTAAAAGGTGGAGCTGGGGAAGATGCCTCTCTACTTCTCCCTCCCAATGGCATCTTGGCTTAAAGATCAGCAGAAGCAGGCCTGGGTTCTCTCAAACTTGTCTTGATGCCTAAAGCTACTGGGTCTGTGTCTGGCCCTTCCGGGCCCAGGTTCTCTACCAGCCATGGCCAGTCAAGGCCTTGGAAGGTCTCCTTTGGGCCTTGCCATCATTCTTCTCAGACTAAGTGACTTCCATACTGAGCCTGATTGGCAGCTACCTGGCCTACTTAAACGATGTGACAGGAGAGGTAACAACTCGCTCTGCACTATGTATGTGTAGGGAGGACAAAAACAAAGATGGGGTTACAAAGAATATGCTGCAGGAGGTTTTTTTTTCTGTTGGAGAAAGAAGGACCCATTTGGGCTGGATATTTAAGATAGTGCCAGATTTCAAAAAGTGAAACTCAAGAGGGTGGAGGAGAAGGATGTGCAAGGAGCTGGGTTCAGCTATGGGCAGAAAGCTGGAGGTATGCAAGGACCTGGGGAGAGGGAAGGCCTGGAGGACAGTGGAGATGAGCCAGGGCAGGGTGTGGGGAGCCACTGAAGTCTTGTGAACATGGGAGCTCCCACATGCTCCTGCCTTGGCTGCTCCACTGCGTTTTCCAGTCTGTGCAGCGTTCCAGGGCCCTCCAGTCTCCACTTCCCTGGGGAATGTGCTCAGTGCGGTCTCAACTGTCTGTCAGGGCCCATAAGCGCCTTGAAAGCAGGCATGAGGAAGGGTCACAGCAGAGTCTGGCTTGGTAGTTGAGCCACGGGATCTGTGCGCCATCTGACCTCTTGGAGGGGGAATGGATCAACTTTCTAGAGGGCCGGTGGCCTGGTTTATCGGGGTGTGCATGTGAAATTAATCACATATTTAGCTATTTAAAATACTGAAACTCCTTCATTTTGCTTTAGTTTATTACTTTTTTTCTTGTTGTTAGGTTTTTTTTTTTTAAAGAGGTTAAGTTCTATTAAGATTTCTAAAGCCAGAGTCAAAACACCCTTTCTAAGTGCCATTTGTCAGATTGAGAATCTGTGGTCCCCAAGGGGCTTCTGGAAGTGTATCTGGGAGCAAAACCTGCTATGTGACTGCCATCTGGACCAGCTCCCACCACATCCCTGGAAACATGGCCACTGCAGATAGTCCCCGACGCAGGGTCTGTCCTTCCAAATACGGGGAACCCTGTCTATGGCTACCAAACACATTCAACAGGAGGACCCGCGGTTTCTTTTCAGTATGAGAAAACACACCTGCTCTGGATTTTGTAGCAGAACTAGAGATCCACGAGTTCGTAAAGGGGTGTGGGCTGAGGCGATGGGTTCGGCATATGGCATGACTTACTTTGCCCAAGCAACACAGTTTTGAGTCGTTTCCATGTTAGACAGCAATTAATAGCTATGAAGACTGCTCACTTTTTCACGGAAGCCTAAAGGGTCTTTTTACTCAGCAGTTGAGTGCTACCACCAAGGGACTGCCCTCAGACCTATTGAGCTTCGTAGTCTGGATTTCATACATGGATCGGACTCCCACGCTGTGTTCCTTACGGAGAAGGGGCCCAGCCTGTACAGAACCCCTGACCTGGGAAGGAGGACAGAAGAAAAGGGGCTGGTATACCTGTGGCCAGGTGGCTTGGGCCTGCACAGTGGCTTGTTCAGTGCATGGCCAGGTATTCACCTGGAGGAAAAGGTGGTGCTGTGGATTTGTTGGCTGTTGCCAAAGTTGAATGTAATCCTGCGGGTTCTCCAGGGTGACTAAATTTGAGTCAGAAACGATGGCAGGCTGAGGAAAGCTGGCAGAAATCACTTGAGTGTTTGGGTTATGTGCCAGTGTCAGCTGGTTTACGGAGGGCCCCTGCTGCTCTTCAGCGAGAAAACTGTAAGAGAAGACACATGTTATAGTGACATGGATCCAGAAACAAGGGCCCACAAAGTATTCTCTTGGTCATCAGGAGGTGCTTAAGGCACATTTGTTTTTGGCAGGTAAATCAGGATTCACTTTTTTTGTACGCTCACTTTGGTCTAAGACTCAATTTGCCATTGCAAAGCGAATATAAACACTGAGATAAATTGCAGTCGTTTGTCTCTAGTGGTTTTATTAATATTACTAGGACTATCTTGGTTCTGCCACGATGGCAATCTCTGTGGCCTCGTGCAATCACTTCACCGACCCCAGTCAGTGACTTGCCCTCCATCACTAAAGAAGCTGACAGCTATGAGGGGCTGCAAGGCCGATTTCCTCACTCCAAGATCAGCGGTCTCTCTATAACCCTAACCCTGGGGCTAGTGTGATAAACAGAGATTTCTGAACCCCATTCCAGACTCTGACTCTTTATTTTCAACAACCTCCTCAGGTTGATTCTCATTATTGGCCCACAGAGAAACATGGCACTAACCCACCTCACTGAGGCTGAAAGAAGGCCCAGAAGGAAATCTGGAGAGCTTTTGGAAGCCTGCTCAGAAAGCTGGCATTCATTCAAAATTATTTATTAGGCACCAAGTAAGTTCTATGCATCCCATTCATTACTGAGCAGAACCTTCTCTTGCTAATATTTGTGACCAAAGACTTGTCACTGAGCCAAAAACGTGTTCATGCCCTGGACTATGGGCAGAGAGCGGTCTCCCAGGATGTAGTCCTTCTGTGTTCTTGGTTCTGTAGGTATCCAATGACAATCTAGCAACTGTTTCACACCCACTTCCTTCACATAGATCGTCAATGCAAGGCACAGGAACCCCTTCACCTGGTGTGCTGCGATTACCAGACCCCAGTGAAGTGAGAGAAGGAAACTGGGAGTCCAGAAGTTGTTTGGCTGTGGACACTTAAGACATCTCTTAGATACCCTGTGCCATAACACTGGGCAGGGGTGTATGAAGCCAAGCAAATTAAAGATTTGCATGCTAATCCCCTAGATTGGAGGCTTCCTCATCAGTCCTCCTGTGTCATGGAGACTCCCCCATCCCATCAGTACCTGCTTGGCCATGCACCATGCACGCACATGCAGCAGGGCTTGTGGCTACAGAGCAAGATGCATGGGAGCACGTTGCTTTTGATGAGGGATTTTGGTGCCCTGTGGGCAAGTTGCCCATGCTTTCAGGAATGGTGTCCAGCCCCGAAGGGACAGCAGTGACTTTAGCAACGATCACTATTCCATGTACTTCTTACCTGTAAGTTTTCTCTTTTTGGCCCCCAAGGTTTTCATCTTGATAGAAGCCACAGGGCTGCTGCTCGGCTATTAACTGCAGAGGAACAATGATAGGCTGGGTCTGCACGAAAGTAATAGAATCATCACGGAAGGAGCTATAGAAGCCACTTTGGTTTGCCATGCATATTTGCAAGGTCTGGTTTTCCATAATGATGCTATACTGCTGTGGCTGCTCCTGTATCAGCAGCTGCAGCTGCTGCTGCGGCTGCTCCTGTATCAGCAGCTGCTGCGGCTGCTCCTGTATCAGCAACTGCAGCTGCTGTTGCTGCTGCAGCTGCAGCTGCTGCTGTAGCTGTTGCTGCAGCTGCTGTTGTAGCTGTTGCTGCAGCTGCTGCTGTAGCTGTTGCTGCAGCTGCTGCTGCTGTTGCTGCTGCAGCTGTTGCTGCAGCTGTTGCTGCTGCTGCAGCTGTTGCTGCTGCAGCTGTTGCTGCTGCTGCTGCAGCTGTTGCTGCTGTTGCTGCTGCAGCTGTTGCTGCCGCTGCTGCAGCTGTTGCTGCTGTTGCTGCTGCAGCTGTTGCTGCCGCTGCTGCAGCTGTTGCTGCTGTTGCTGCTGCAGCTGTTGCTGCCGCTGCTGCAGCTGTTGCTGCTGTTGCTGCTGCAGCTGTTGCTGCCGCTGCTGCAGCTGTTGCTGCTGTTGCTGCTGCAGCTGTTGCTGCCGCTGCTGCAGCTGTTGCTGCTGTTGCTGCTGCAGCTGTTGCTGCCGCTGCTGCAGCTGTTGCTGCTGTTGCTGCTGCAGCTGTTGCTGCCGCTGCTGCAGCTGTTGCTGCTGTTGCTGCTGCAGCTGTTGCTGCCGCTGCTGCAGCTGTTGCTGCTGTTGCTGCTGCAGCTGTTGCTGCCGCTGCTGCAGCTGTTGCTGCTGTTGCTGCTGCAGCTGTTGCTGCCGCTGCTGCAGCTGTTGCTGCTGTTGCTGCTGCAGCTGTTGCTGCCGCTGCTGCAGCTGTTGCTGCAGCTGTTGCTGCAGCTGTTGCTGCAGCTGTTGCTGCAGCTGTTGCTGCAACTGCTGCTGCTGCTGCAGCTGCTGCTGCTGTTGCTGCTGCTGCTGCTGTTGCTGCTGCTGCTGGTATTGATCCTGCTCCTGCACGTGCTGCTATATCAAAAGGAAAGAGATTAAAGTATCTCGGTGTCTGCAAGAGCCTCCCACAAATTGACTGAACCCTCTCCATTCTCCCAAAGCTGAAGGCAGAACAGTCCTGCCTCTCTGGGCACAGGGGTCTACATGACTATCTCCTTATTTGGCAGGGCACTAGAGGCAGTCATGCTCCTGACCGTGAGAAGCTACAATCCAGCACTTGTGTACATGTACTTGTGCATGTGTGTCCATATCTACTTAGCCAGGAATTTTTATTTCCTCAGGCAAATGAATTTCATCCAACTGAGTAGTCATTACTCCCTCAGCAGAAGTGAGTGAGCCCAGATTTTCATGAAAATGAAATCCCCTTTTAGCCACACAGTTAAAACAGACTTTTCCATACCTGAGTGGAGGCATCACAAGGTTTCTTAAGCTCCTCTGAAAATTTGAAAGGGCGAGATGAGTATGAAGCTCTGAAACGTTTGGTCTCATTGAAATCTGGATCGGAGCTCTCCGTTTGCTCAGTGCGTGGTTTCTTGCGCACTGGTTCTGAAAACCGCGGCTCAGTACTGTCAGTCTGCTGTAGCATGGTTACCTGCATAAGGAAACAGTAGCATGAAGGTCTTATTCTGGGGTTATACCTTTCCTTAGGGCACAGGGCACGCTGGGCATGGAGTGAGATTGCGCATAGGCAAGCCCACCAGAAGCCCTGGCTATATATGAACAACATCTTCCACTGCCAGAGCCCCGCTGGGCTGTTCTCAGCTCCTGCAACCAAGAGAAAAAGGGCAAAGCCTAAGTCCCTGATGAAGATCACTCTAGAAGTTCTGTCCTGACCTGGGGTAGCAGCTGTCACTACAAGCAGGCCCAATTGACTAACTCCTTGAAGGCTGTCCCTTTCTCCTGTTCCTTCTGCCACTTACATGGAACTGGCCTCTGACCTGTAACTTGGAATCCTGCAGCATCTTAAGCTGCTCCTTCATCATGTCCAGGGCATCTTGCTGGCTCCTCATGTCAGCCTGCAGCAGCTGAGCCTTCTCCTCCAGCTGCTTGCTAAACTTCTCAGTGAGTTCCAGCTCGCGTTTGCTGATGTACGATGTAATTGGTGATGGCAGTCGCGATGGCTGTGGGAGGAACCGCTTATGGTTCATATATAGGGGTACCATATTCTCCAAATCCTACCGTATTGTTTCATTTCTAAGTTGTGAAAGACTGAGAGTGAGAACAATAGCACTCCAATCCTGATTTCATTCATTAATAGGAAGTTTGAAGAAATGGTTAGAGAATCCAGGAATTCCAGATCAAAACTGGATCAGAGGGATCATTTAGTCTGATTTTCCCCCTAAAGATAAAGCTGTGGAATTGGCCTGGAGACATAAAGCAATCAGCTCAAAGTCCTTAGTGGAAGACTCAAGAGCACAGCGGGTCAGATCACAAAGGAGGCATGTAGAAAAGATCTATTGGATGCCCCTTTGACATGCACTAAGAAGAATGCTCAACTTGTACTTCCTTTGCTCCTGGCACTCTTGTAAGTACTTGTACAGAAACTCACAGATCTGACTTTCACAACCCCCTACAAAGTAGGTACTATATAGACATCTGCAGTCATAGTACTTGGATGAATACTCTCTGATTGGCCCTGGGAACTTAATTTTAACTTGAATAACAGCCTCGGAACTGGAACTAAACCAATGGGGGGTCAAATGAAGGGGGTGGGGGAGGGTGAAGTGGGTAAAGGGGATGAAATATATGGTAAGTGAAGAAAAGTGGACTTTGGGTGGTAAACACACAATAGAATAGATGTCAAATCATAATGTACACCTGAAAATTACATAATTGTATTAACCAATGTTACCCCAATAAACTTAATAAAAAAAAAAAAGCAGGCATTCATTAGAGTAAAAAAAAATTCCTAAACTCAGGTCTAGAATAGACAAACTTTACAAGTCATCACATCTGCCCACCCTTCTCCAGGCAGGAATCTTTTCTCTGCCATCTCTGGTACAGGAGCTACCAAGCCATGGCTGCAACCTTCCCCCTGAAGGGGAGGGGCTTGCCCCCTGGGGAGGTAACTTAACCCATCCAAGAATAGTTTCCTTAAAGGGAGCAGAAAGCGGCCTGCCTTGAGCTGCTCTCTCTCCACCCTAGTTGGATCCACTAGAGAGGTGTCTTCCACTTCAACAGCATGATGGCCCCACAGCTATTTGGATCAAGCTGTCCTGCCTCTCCCCAGTCTCCTTTTTCCAGTGTCTTCCACTAGTGACCACATGATGTTTTCCAGCACCTCTCCATCCTGGTCTCTGTCTTCTAGATACACTCTGAAGTCTGTCAATCCATGGTACACAGAAATAAACCTAATGTGCTATTGCATGCAGAACCAACCACACACTCATTTGTTGATTATTTTGACTATTTTAAACAAAAGTTATAGAGTTTAATTATAAATTATTTCAAAGGAGAAACCTACCAACAGTGAAAAGGGAACCACAACTTTTTAGTATAATAAGGACATAAAGAGAAAATGAATTTCTACAGAAAATTTTAAAAAATAGTTCAAAGAATTTTCATAGTAGTCCAATAGTCCCTGCAAGGCAAACAGACCATTTCAAGATGGAGAAACTGAGACTCAGGAATGTGCCAAGGTCACACTGCTGGGGCCAGATTCAAACAACTGTCTCCTAGCCCTCAGTTCTCATAAGAGGAGGATACTTTTGGTATTAGGAATGGAGTGACTCATCTTAGGATCGGTAATCAATGCACACGATTCTACATAACAGACCATAAACTCATTATCTTGCCTGTCAATCCTGATTTTAATAATCCTTTCTAATATAAAAGATGATCATCCAAACCTGCGATTACGTACACAGATCTGGAGGTAGAACAGCAAAACAGTAGAAAATCCAACTGTTTAAATTTGGGCTCAGACCATCCATTGGCGCTGAGATTTGATAGTTGGATATTTCTAACATTCTGAAAGGCATGCTTCTAACCAACAGAAATTCCACTGAGACCTAGCTCAGGTGAGGAGTGTTGGTTTGGGCAGGCAGGAAAGTTATCTTCCCTTGAGATGGTCAGTATCCCCTCACAGGTGAGGAAGTACATGACTCTTAAAAATACTGCCTTTTCTTAATGTGAAGCCTCCTATTTGGCTCAAACTTTCTCTCAAGCACAGAATGTCTTTTTGAATGTTTCCTATTAAGAAGAGAAGAGAGATTTGGTCTTAGAGAACCTCCAACCTCCGTGTTTGCCAGAAGCCAATGGATTCTCGGCTGCATCTGAAAATTCGGTACAACAGGAATGGTGATACAGTTTTATCAAATTAAAGAGAGAACGATTTCTTCAAAGTGAAACTGGGCACAAGAGTGGACATTTGGAGCTTTGTAGAATTAATGTTCCAGATTAATGTGTGGAGCGAGACTCTGAGGTACCTGAGTATTGATGCCAGGGGTCACACTGGAGACTGAGATGTGCTCCTTTTCTATCTTGTCCACAGCCTCCACAACATCCATATCACCCGCCTCTTCTATCTCAGGTTCTAATTCAAAGCTCTGCAAAGATGACGTAGCTGAGGAAGAAAGCACAATGAACTTCGTGACTAAGAAAGCAAAAGTACCGATGCTATCAAACAGATTGTATAGGTTTCTATTTGTTTGTTTGTTTTCTTTTAGAAGCCATAAAATCAAGAGAATCAAGTTCTCTTCCATGTTAAGGATTATACATGCCAGGTACCAGGAGTAATTCAGCAATTACTTAAAAATCTGTTTGGATCTGAAAATGAAGAAAAAGGAGAAAGTGTCTGACTTTACCTCCTCCCACCCAAACTTAAGCAGGTACCTAAACCCATTAGTGTTAAGTCTTTTCATTATACAATTCTTTTGGTACCTTCTGACTGATAAATACCAAATTAAACCTAATCATAAATTACTTCTGACAAACTAGGTTCCCCAGGATGTGGGATCTCAGGAGTTCTTTAAGTACTGTTGGAGGTGTTGTGACATGCCACTCCTTCAACAGCCCCCAAAAAAGCAAAGTGGAGAATGTTATTTGAATAAGGAAAAATGGTACAGTCCTTTGGAAAATAGTTTGGCAGTTTTTTTTTTCACACACACTTCCCATATGACCCAGCAGTCCCACTCCCAGGAATTTAGCCAAGTGAATTAAAATTTTATGTTCACACACAAAAAACTCTATGCAAATGTGTATAATAGCCCTAGTTATAATCACCAAAAACTTGGAAACAACCCAGATGTCTTTCTACAGAGAAATGGATTTTAAAAAAACAACTGTGGCACATTTGTAAGATGCATTACCAATCAGCAAACAAAAAGAAATGAACCATTGATTCACGCAACAGGGATGAATCTTAAATGCACTTTCTTAACAAGGCCAGACCGAGCAGGTTAGATGTTGTGTGATTCCCTTTACATGATATTCTAGAAAACAGATGATACACAGATCAATGGTTGTCAGAGGATGGGGGACAGAGTTTGAGTTCAAAGAGGTAGTGCAAAGGAATTTAGGGGTGATAGAACCCCTCTGCTTGGTACTGTGGTGGTAGATACATGACAAATGCATTGGCTTTTGTCAAATCCATAGAACCGAACACCCCAAAGAGCGAATTCTATTGTGTGCGAACCTAAAACTGAATTGCTCTTATACATTTTAGAAATCACAATCATGGGTCCATGGATTTCCCACCCCCCCCAACCCAAATCAATCATTTTGAAAGGATTTTTTTAGCAAAATTTTGAGATTGACAGCAATAATGGAAAGATTGTTAACTGGAGTATTTAAAAAAATAGAGGTATCACTTCTATATATAGAGATGCCATGATATAAATTATCTATGATAAGATCGGCTATTAGAAGACGTGATCTGCATTGTGCATCCACCACTGGTTTAAGTTTTGTACCTTATTACAATTGTTTATAAAATGTCTTTAATTGAAACTTATAGAATGTCACTGTTTGTGAGAGACTATTTCTTTTGCCCTTTACTAGCAATTCTTCTTATAGCATAGTTTTTGAAAACAAGAGGTCTCTTTAGAATGAAACTATTATGCCACAGCAGAAAAGACTGCATGAGTATGAAAAGATGCTATTCTTCCAAGGATCGAGATATAGCATCAGTCCTTAGAAGATTAAAATTAAATGGGAAGGAATAATACCCTCCCCCAAGCACTCAAACCATTGATGAAATATTCACTTTCACTGCTCTTAAATCATCTAAAAAACTTTACAGAAGATGAAGAACATTACAATTCACTCTTTTGATTTCACATGATTATAAATAGAACATCATCTTCATTTGAAAAACTGTAACTACTTCTGTAGGCTATTACTTTCCTTCTAATAGTCCCTATCCGAATGTTCAAATGTACCTACCTGGTGATCCAAGTACGGTTTCCAGGGAAGATACGCTATTTTCAGAAATTGTATCACATTCTACCTTCTTTTCATGAGCATGTCCCTGTGGTCCATAGTTGTCAATCTCTATAATATCATCCTGATCCTAGGAATTTCCAAAAGAGAAGATGACATTTCAATTAGACAAAAAGATATTTAAATAAGAGGAAACACAGGCAGAACAAACTTTGATGCATTTCACAGAACAGTTTCTAACATTGCTTCAATCAATTGAATACCTAACATAAAACTATCATGTAACATGTCCACGAAAAATATTGCTAGAAGATAAAACAAGCAGATTATGGGTGCCATATATTATACATTATGAAAATCTAGAAGAGAAACAGTATATACATGCTAAAAGCACAAGCATAATGAAGATGTGTGCCCATCAAAGGCCATGAAAAAAAATGCCTTTCAGAGGTGTTAGCAGGATGCTGACCTGCTGGTTTAGAGAGGTGCGAGAGCTGTGAGAGAATAGTACTACCATTGACATGGCTATTTTTCCAGAGGTCCTACACATGCAGCCTAGGCTTAGAGCAAGGAAAGGCCAACTGGGGGGCTGCTACTCCATGTTTTTAATAAGGATTAAAGGTGAAAGTGTTATTAGCAGAAGTACCTTTATAATATATACTAGCAAAGAGATGGAAATAGCCATGGAGAGCTTCTAGTGCAACCTCTCCATTTGATAGCATCAAAGAGGAGGTCGTATAGCAAGTTAGGAGCAGAGCGAGAGAGAATCCAGTGACGTTCAAATCCAGTGCTCATTTCCCTAACCCTGGCCACCTATCTCAATTTAAGCCATTTGCTGCTTTAAACCATATACATCTATTTAGTGATCCACTGCCACTTCCTTAAAATAGGACCTTTTTTTGAATAGTCTGGGGCTCACTGCTTATGTGAAATTTAAATTCAATACCTGGTCTATCAGTGAAATCTTTTACATCTCTGCTAAAAGATTGTTAGTTTGCTTGCTTGCTTGTTTTGGATGAAATTAAGACAGACCCTTGCTGGTTTTTCTACAAGAAATCAGTTTGTTAGAGCCTATAAAACTCTTATGTTTTGTACAACTCTTCAGAGCACCTCTCTGCCAGATGGGATACTGCCTGATTCATAAATCACTCCATAAAGCCAATTAAATTCAGTTTAAATTTCTTTAACTGAATTTCTGTTCTCTAACACTCTAAACACTAGGCACACTCTCATCTCAAGGCCTCATATTGGTTTTCCCTCTTCTTGAGTCTTCCGCTAGATATCTTCATGGCTACTTTTCTTAATTCCTTTAATTTTTGCTCATATTTCATACTGTATTCCCCTCACCTGTTGTATTCTCAACTCTTGTCATTCTTCTCTATTTCTTTTCGATAACTCGTCTCACCTTCTAATTTGTGATTTGTTTATTTAATATACTTATCTTCTTTCTCATCCATCTCCTCCTGCTTGAATGTAAGCTCTAGAGCAGGAATTTTTCAGTTTTTTTTAACTGATGTATCCACACACCCCCCCTCACCTAAAACAGTGTATGGTACAAAGTAGGTGTTAAACAAACATTTGTTCAATGAATGAATAAACGAACAAATTTGAAATGACCTTTAAAATAAATATATTTAAAATGTTCAAAAATATAAAGAATGAGAGGCCATAAAAGAAATAAGACAACGTGGAAAAACAGAGAGCTTTAAAAATAGATTCTTTGCTGTGTGTTACGAAATATAGCTTTTGGGACCAGACAGGCCTGGGTTTGAATCCTGGCTCTACCACAATCTGTGTGACTTTGGGCAAGTTATTCAATGGCAAGAATCCAAAGATTCACTATCTGTAAAATTGGAATGATAATGCCTCATACAGTTCTTGTACAGTCAAGCACTTAGCCCAATCCTTGACATATAAGTCCTCAATAAACTTTAGTTATTATTATTATTTTAGCATAAATACTATGTCACTCCCTACCCCTAACTTGAGTTAAGGTTACTTTCTTAGACCACTTTTTGGACACTTCATAAGTATCTGCTGAGTAAGTGCCTATCAATATAGTAGTCGCAAAATCAGTAGATTACTCCCTCAGCTAGGTTTGTCTTGTCCTCCCAGTTAACACACAATTGGCCTGGGCAGAGTGCTTCTGAGTCTAATTTGTGCTCTGGCTCTCCTACCCCACCCAGCTTCCCGGTGCATATGCAAAGCTAACCCCTTCTGAAGGCTTGCCTGCTGCCTCCAGACACAATGGATTTGGGTGAAAAAGCAACCTGATAATGTAAAAGTTCCAGTTCTACCAAAATGCCTGTTTAGATTAAAATAAAGTATTTGGGACTGAGTCAATTAGGAAAAACTTGCTTTGGATTGGCATTGATGCTACTACATTTGCCATTGTTGTCCAATTGGTAAAGTGGTGGTTTTGTGGAAGGAACTTTATCCTCAATACATCATCTTGTTTAAAATTCCTTGCTGATTAAGTTATTTTCAATAGAACATGCTTCTTTGAATACAGGGTTGTCTGTAGTAATAGAGGACAAGTCAAAATATATTGATCCCTGGCAGGGGGCTGGTGTGCTTTGAGTGGTTTTCGTCATGTTTCTTTTGCTTAGGTTTACTTGAGATCCTTAGATCTTTGGGTTTCTAGGATTCATCAAATGTGGAAAATTTCTGGCATTATTTCAAGTATTTTTTATCAGTACTCCCCTCTACCCTTTCAGGACTTCATTTACATACATATTTGGGCACGTGAAGTTTTTAACAGCTAATTGATACTCTTTTCATTTTTCCTGTTCTTTTAAAACTATTTTTCTCTTTGTGTTTAATTATGGATAATTTCTATTGCTTTGTGTTTAAATCCACTAACCTACTAAATCTACAATGTTTAACCCTGCCATCAATCTCACCCATTGTTGCGTTTGCTGCTCAGATTTTGACTTGAGATTCCCCCCACGTTCCATATTTCTACTTAAATGTTTGAACATATGTAATATAGTTTGATTGTTTTTAATATCCTTGTCCACTAATTCTAAAGTCTTTGTTTGTTCTGGACAGGTTTCTACTGGTTTTTCTCTTCAATAAGGGTCATATATCGCTGCTGCTTTGAAAGCCTGATAATCTTTGGCTGAGTACCAAATATTTTTCATTTTTACCTTGTAGGTAGGGTATTGGATATTCTTGTATTCTGATAAACATGCCTCATCTTTGTTCTGGAATGTAGTTAAATTACTTGGAAAA